CGTTTTTAGCAAAGCGAACAAATTATACTAAATACGCGAGAGCTAGACACCTGGCTAGATTCACTCTACGAAAGACCATGGCCGTAGATACCCTAAGGGGGCTCAAGGCCCCCGTCGGGAGACCCATAAGGTCCTGTTGCGGCCACAACTTGGGCCACCAACCACTGAGCAAGCTCAGCGGAAGAGGCGGAAGGGCAACCCCCGACACCATGGTCTTAAGTCTAGCTGCACTAACCGGATGACTACTCTTATATGACTACTTGAATTAATATGCTCGACCCGACCAAAGGAATAGGATAAGTAAGACAAATACAATTGAAAGTGAGAGGGAACAAAGCAAAACGAGAAGTTATAAAGGAAGATAAAATTTAAGAAGTTAAAATGTAGAAAAGTAAGGAATGGGGGTATAAAAGTAGAGAAGAAATAAGGGAAGAAATAAATAAGAAAGTAAAGAATGGAATATAATGAAATAAGGAGGTAAAGAAAAAATAAATGTAGAAAAAGAAGAATATTGGAAATGGATACGAGAGGTAATTCCAAGAGACCAGTATAGGAGACCGGCTCAAGGATGAATGAGCGCCCTGAGTTCGGGCACTGCCTCGAGCGCTCCCCCCACCGTCGGCCTGCTCTCACTCGCTGAGTCCCGCGCGACGATTTTTCGCGCACACAATTTTGTGCAACTTCCAGTACTGCTGAATATGCTTGGCCAGAATTTCCGGTTTCTAAGTGTTAATATTTTACTTTATTGAGTTTAGCAATTATTTTAATGTTCCAAACACCTAGCTTATTAATATTTCAATTTGAACGTAATTTATTTTCGATATTCTACAATTTCAATTCAATTTTTATCTACTCCATATATTCTGCGAGATTTTGATTTAGCCTCAATCTTATTTTTTGAATAAATTTTCAAAGTAAATCAAGATCCAATAATATTTAGTAAAAATTTAGGTGCTACACGGGTGTAAAGTTGACACTGCGCTTTCTTAAAAGTGTCTTAAAAATTTTTCAACAATAGACTTTTTCAATATTTCTTCAGAAGTTCTATAGTTTTCGGTCTCGTTCTAAGGGTTGTTTTGGGAACCAGCGGTGAGTAACGGAGAACCTCTGCTCGCCAGTCTACGCGTTCGTGTTCACTTTTAGTTCGGCTACGACGGGATTCGCATTGTCGACGGACACGAGGATCACAAAGTCATACTTCCAGACTTGCCGCCACAATTTAGCGCCATGCTTTTGGTATCGCCTAAAACCGTAGCGTTGTGCATCTCCCCACTCATCTCTGGTAGCACGCATTTTCGCAGACTTCGTTTCCACTGGTTGCCACCTTCAGAGAATTTAAACAAAGTTAACGAAATTCATTAGTCAATTCCATTCAACTTTTACACGGATTAATTATTCTTGTTTAAGCTCTGCAAGGTGGATACGTAGTCTCGTTGAATACGTTTATACGGTGTGCTTAAACATTTTATATACCACTGATCTAAGGGAATTAACAAATCACAAATATTCCTTAAAACTACAAATTTCTGTAATTCATTAATTCTTTTAGATCTGTACTTAACTGATATATAACTACATGCGGCGTGTATCGTATCGATAAAGGAACGAAAAAGAGCGTGTGGGAAACTGGTTTTACAACTTTATTGTCAGCTCCTATCCATTTTCACACAATCGATATGGGAGACACTACAAAAGAGGACTGCAGGATAAATGAAAACTTTTGGAAAAACTGTGTAGAACTAATCGAAAAAACATTGGTCCCTGAAAAATCGATTGGTGCAAGCAGACCATGTGAGCAGAAGGATTTTCGAGAATATAGACAAACCGTTGATGAAAAACTCAATGTATTAAAATGTACTCTTCAGTCTATGTGTTACAACAATAATAACGACAGTATAAATTTGCTTATTGAGACACCCATAGAAAAATTGTTCACTGTACATCTATTATTACTCATTGGGGAACATTGTGAACAAAATGTTTGGAATACTGCGCACTCAGTTCATTTATCTAAAGAATTAGAAAGCATTCTATGTGACATATGTCATTGTACAAATGTGTATCAGATTATGATAAAAAATGATATAATTAGTTCAATGTTACTAATTTTGAGGCCTAAGTTGTTCAAGAATACTTGGAAAGCTTATCCCGCAGCTGTAACTTCTTACAAATGGCTATTACAACAAGTTCAGGTTTGCATACTGATAGTAAAGAGTCTTTTAACAGAACTTATTTTAACTTTCGTTAATTATTTGTTATTTTCAGAAACCCAGATTACTTAATTATATGACAGATATACTACCAACTGCACTAATAATTTTAGATGATTATGTTCCTAATAATAAAATTATTGCATTGGAATGTCTCAGAATAATCATGGAACATGGATTCATGGCAAGTCAGTAGGTCTGCTCTATTTTATGTAATGCATTTTATATTAAATGAATTTAATAGGCAAGGGAATTGGTTGAGCATGGTTATGCTGATGTTATCTTTGATGCTCTTGAACATTTGACTCATCATCGCGAGGCACAGTACATCATCCCATTGTATTCTTGTATTAGTCTTGTGTTAAGAACTCTTGAGATTGATAACAATGATGAAAATCTACTAGAGGTGAGTACCACTTCTAAAATCCAATAATGAATCAGATCCATATTATTGTCTGTGTATTTTTATTTATCAGTGGAGTAAACGTGATGACGTTTTGTTAACATTACTTAACAATATGGAGTGTGAACAAAACTTGGAATTGCGCGAAACATACATGTTGAGTCTTCTGCCCCTCTTAACAAAGATTGGAAGTGCAAAGTGGTGTAAGAGACTGACAAGAATCATTGTCGAGTATTGTCAACATTACACGCATATAAAAACAATAAGAGCTACATTAAGAGTAAGGAATACTTAAGCTTTTGAAAATGTTCTACCTCAAGCTATCCTTTGATAATATTTCATTTATACAGACTGCGCGAGGTCTACTTCAATTATTCCATCCTCGGATGGCAGCACATTGCGTTGTGCTGTATACCGCTTTCTTGAAGCTGTGGATGGATTTGGCTGAAGCCGCAGTATTTGACAATGAGACTATTCATATTTTGAAAGAATGTATTTTTCTATTGCAAAAATTAACACCTGTAGTAGGAAGGGTAATCTATGACGATCGAGTACGATTAATTATTAATAATTGTTCACAGTTTGCAACTTGAGAGTAACAATTTCTTCAACATAAATGAGTAAGACTATAATACGTATCTATTTATTTCAATAAAACTGATCTAATTCAAAAGAAACGTCTCTTGCTTGCTATATTATAACATTTTATGGTTGCTCCTTATTCACCACATGTTACCCGCTAAAGACTACATTTTCAAGAACCTTGCTTGCACAATAACTCGCGTACGTGTACAGCCTGTTAATAGTTTCATGCCCTGTTAGCGAAAGTCGTTTTGAAATATTAATTGTTTTGGTGCTGTCACTAAGGAGATTTTCGCACGTCATCTATGAATCAAAAGGTATAAAAAACCAATGATTTCGGATGAAAGCAGCCCACTCTTCCCTCTATCGATAGTACAAAACCAACGCAAATGTTACACGAATATGAGAAGAGGCGCGAAGCAGTAGATTAGAAAAATTTTGACATTGAATTTTAAGCGCGTGGTTTCAATTGAATCCAAGCGTCTTTTGGCGTTACGATCAAACCGGAATGATTATCGTCGAGGGCACTTGGTTCGCCTGGAACGAACAAGGGATCATAATTCTGCATCAAAGCGGAGAAAATAAGAAAAAAGAGGAATCTTGAAAAAGTTTCACCGGCACACACTCGATGACCTGAAAGTGGATATTGAAACGAGTTACAAGAACCATTACACATAATGACTGCATTCAGAGATTGAATAGCACCCCGTGTATGCTCCACATACCTGCGCTAAATGGAAGCGATGGATCCTTATAAAGTTCCCCATTAGCGTTAAGAAATCTTTCTGGTCTAAATCGGTATGGATCGCCCCAGAGCTCAGGTTCGTGGTGCATTGCTGCAAGATTTGTAAGCATAATGGTATTAGCCGGAACGCTGTAACCACAGAATAACGTATTCTCGGTCGCTACGTGGGGAACTCCGAGTGGCGTTGAAGTTTCATATCGCAAAAGTTCACGGATTGTAGCCTCTGTGTATGGAAGCCTGATAATATAAAATACTGTTACTATATTTTTCATATCTCGAGAAGACTAAGTTTAATACTCAAGGTTAGTGAAACTCACATTTTTCTATCTTCCAATATTGGCAGTCTATCTGGACCAACAATGCTGTCGATTTCATCCTGGACCTTTTTCTTCACTTCTGGAAAATGCATCATGTATTTTATGCAGGTGGCAATACTACTTGGAAGCGCCGAAAGTGATGGAAACATGAAATCTGTTAGTAAAATTAAAAGTTGATCTCTTGAGAAGCTGGAGGTACTTCCTCTCTTCCTATTATCCTCGATTTTCCGAAGATATCTATCAATGAAGCTGTCGTCTTCCCGATGGGCTGCCATACCGTGAAGGACTCGCTCATCCACGTACTCCTGCATGCGACCAGAACCCATCGGGAACAATCAAGCGGTGAAATACATTGAATAAAAACTATTTTGTTTGACAGCTTTCAGTTTCGTGTAACTTACCCTGATATAGTCGGTAATTTCTTTGTTTCCCTCTATAAATTTTTTGTAACCAAAAATATTTCCAAAATGCCGAAGCCAAGGCGTTTGCAGGATCGCACCTCCTAAAGTATCGGCATTCCTTTGTAAAGTCATGGCAGCACGACTTATTCTTCTCAATTGTTCATGATCATCACGGTCGATTTTTTCGCCAGAGATTATTGCCCAAATAGAGCCAGCTGTTATATGAAATAAGATGTCCGGGAAAAGTGCTGTAGGGTATGTGCCAGACCTCAAGACTGTCTGAACGATTCGTTTATCATTATTTTATCGAATGCTTGGTGCAAACCAAAAGAGAATATAAGAACTATTAACCTTTTCTTCGTCATTATGTGCTCCAGTATTGATAATCTCAATGAGCTTTGACACTTCGTGTAATACATCGTTTTCCCATTTTTCCTGTCGACGTCCAAATCCGAAGTCCCTCATGTGACGTAAAGCGAATCTTCTTTGCTCTTGCCAATAAGAACCATCCACGAAAAAAATTCCTTCGAAAGGTTGAAATTGTCACTTATATGTCACTTATAATATTATATATATATTATATTATATGGCCATGTTATTCTACTTCTCTGGGAGTTTAAAATCACTGTTTAAGAATTCTCTCTTCACTTCTCGTAAGGTGCAATCACTTTCGGCTGACTACTTATAATTATAACTATCACTATTTTATTTATTAAAACGAAATGGTATTGACAATCGAGCCACCATTATAAAATCTAATGTCAAGCATTCACTTACCAAGCTGTTTTCCAAACGCTCTCGCCTTAAAGTAATCCGAATCCACTATTCTGCCGTCAAACTCCTTTTTGTTTAAGAGCTCCTTGCACGTCGAAGAGTCCTGCGCTACTATAACAAAATAGTCTCCCAGATGACAACTCAGCACTTTCGTCTTATATTTCTTCGCATAGTAGTCGAACGTTTTGTAGGGAAACTTATAATTACCCCAAAGCAGAAACCAATAACTTCCCCAAATTGGAATTCTGGGAATAGCTGCGAGAAACACATTATGGTTTCTTATGCTTTTTCGTACAGTATAAATACATGTATACACGATCCTGCTTTTTTGACTTTCTTTTGCCTTGCAACACATGTACGTTCTTTCGTAATTCTGTACTCACCTGGCGGAGTATTTGGTGGCTTGCCAGTTACGAATTTGTATCCTTTGTAGATTAGAAGCCAAAGAATTATGAGAATTAATATATACGACATTGCGAATCGATAGCAGATTTCAACGTTGAATCGAACGTCCACTGGTAAGAATTGATCAAAACTTCGAACTGAGAGCTAGTGTAATGAATCATTTAATATCAGGAGCGTTTGACCTTTTTCTCATCGTTGTTTCTCCCCAGTGTAGAAAAATATTAAACAGCCTTGATACGAAATGTTAATAAACGATCGTCGCAGAATAACACTACAGTGCTGAAAACATTAACTAGACGCTGCAACGTCGCGTCCGTAAGACGTAGGACGGGGCAGTTCCAAAGAGGAAAGCGGCTAACATAACTTGCTGGACACTCTGCATCTTTCGTTACACGCGAGACACCATGGTTCAGCCAGATTATTACGTGCGTGACGCGAGCCACAGCCCTAAAGAAAATTACTAAACTGAATTCCGAATATTATGATGGTATCAAATGTAATCTGTCAAATGAAAATATCCCCAAGGAGATACGAATCTTTCGCAATATTCATTTATTTAACTTGCGATCAAAAATAAGGACAACATTTTAGTGTCGAATAATGTAAAATTACTGTATAATTGCAAAAGAAATTCCGATTTCTCGTACCTCCGAATACATCGACACTATCTATACACTTGTCTTATAAATTTTCTAACAAAGATTTAAATGCCAATGCAACCATCAATAATTTTTCTATTTGATGATCTGTGCCCATAATTAAAATATTTTTAGAAAATGTTTACATTCACGTTCTATCTTAATTAATTCATGTGATTGACATCAAGAGTTTTTTATGAGATACATTTCCCAAGTTATAATCAATAAGCTTAGTTAGTGAAAATGCATTAAACTATCACATTATATATATCAAAATAATAGTATTTTTACTCAATCTTCCAGCATAACAACTGTACAACCAGATATTCAATTATAGTCAGTTCGCGAGTTGATAGATATAAAACAATCAAGTTTCTAGCAGACCACATATGGCTGTGCATAACATTTTTACCAAGCATGAACGTGCACGATTTTGCACTAAAATATTATTTATTCCATTAGATATTATAATCGTTTTTTGATAGAATAATTCAATGCCTATAAGGATTGGAAGAAGACAGAGGTTCAGATCTGCATTCAAAACTCAACAAAGAATTAAATCGTCATTGTTCAAGGTGGAAGTGATTTATGAAAGGAGACCCCAACATAATTTACTCTCTATGTACCAGGACATATAATCCAAGACACGTTAAGACAGCATACTTAAATTTAGGATATTCATTCATGTATATAGTCACCATACCAACATATGGTAGGAAACCTCTTGCTCTGCCCACTACATCTTTATGTGTTAGCCACAATTGTCCAGGAGCATATAATCCTCTGTCATCGACAGAATTATTGTCACCTTTTGTCAAAAACTTTACAGTGTTGTTTGCATCTCCTCTGTAATGGTAGCAAGTGTTTTAATTAAACTACTTGTCTCAAGGTGTTCGATAAGCTTTGAAATGATACTTGATTTTTTAAATAACAAAAATTAGACTTACTTTTCATGAAGTTTAAGTACCCTATGGACGATAGGAATGTCACGACCATCAACTTTAAAGACGACAATTTCTCCAACACGTACTGGTTCATCTTGATAGTTTGTCAGAAACAGTAGGTCTCCTCGATGAAACGCAGGTTCCATACTACCACTACAATAATGAATTATAACATTAAATAACAAAAGTCATAAATGAAAGACAGATTATTTTAACACACTGCTCTTATTGAACTGTGTACTTAAAAATGGAAATTTTTTAGGGTTAGAAAAACTAACCTCAAAACAACAACGATTGGACTTTCACTGCCTGTAACCACCATTAGCCCTTTCCAAATCATCAAGGCTGAAGAGACGATCATCCCGAAACTCAGAACTTGATAAATAAACTGGAACGAAGAAAGTAAGATTAAAAAGCAGAAAGAAACTTACAAGCATTCAAATCCATATGTCCAAATACTCATTAATCGTTTGGTATTAGATAAAGAAATATATTTACCTGACGCTTATTCATACGTATCACATCATCAAATACGCTCTGCAACATTATTGCAACTAGATTTCACAGATATACAGTACCAAGAAGTAAACTAAATACGTGGACAGTCAGCCGGTACAAAAGCTAAAGCTGCTAGCGATCGCCGTCAAGCTATATGACGCTATAAATGTATATAGGTATACAGGATAGATACACTGTTCAACCACCACCACGTCACGTAAATATTAAACGACAGGAACAAAAGGAAATGAACCGACTCCTTCTCGGTGCTTTTTGCCTTTTTAAATATTTTCAATTCGTTTTAATTCTCAATTGTTGAATAATGAAGAATAACACAAAGAAGCGAACGTTCGTCCACATTTCATTGATCGACGCCGTTGCATCTCTATCCAAGCAAATATTTGTAGAATATGAATACTAGATAAACGTATTACTCCTATTGTTCTTATTTCAATCATGTTACGATTCATACAAAATTTTTAAGGAATTTAGTATATCAAATTTTGTAACGGTGATGGATAAATCAAAGGCCGGAATGGAAAATGGATAAGGTGCCCCAAGAAAAATGGTTAGCCTTTTGAAGATTAAAAAAATCGCCACTGTGAGAATTTTTACTCTCTTCTCGCTCTCCGACGTCGTCTTTCCTATAGATTTCGTCTTCCGCAGGAGACAATAAAGTAGGATGAATTTTCGGTACGAGCATATGGTCGCCACGATTTCCCTCGTTCTTTCCATTCTCCTGCCAACGCGAAATCATTTCATTGAGTGGTCGAAGAGAGCTCGCATTTTCCCGTATTCTCTCGAGCTCCTCGTTGCAAAGTCTCTCGACCTCCACGAGCTTCTGGCGGTAAGCATTAGCGACGAGTCGACGACGCATTTCATACCGCTTCTCGGCCTGTGCTTGAGCCAGGGCATTCTGATATTTGGCAAGTTTCTTCTCGTACTCGAGAATCGTCAACTCACTTAGAGTGTGTTCGGAATTTATGCCGAAAAGATCGCCTGCAGTAGGAAGAGGTCGTTACAAAGCGTACACATAAAGATTTAAATTTAAACGGCTTATATTAAACGATTTAGAAGATGGGAGATCGTAGAAATTACTGATATTGTCCGAGAGAGGCGATTCAGCTGCGTACGCTTCCGCAGCTTCACGTGCAGCTGCCGTTACCTCTCCCATTACCAAAATATCGGATCTCTCTCGCAGAAGTTCAAACCCTTGGCGTTCCTTCCTCCAGAGTCTTACTTCTTCACTGAGTTCATCACTCAATTTGGCCACCGTTCCTTTAAGAGTCTCAATGCGCTCTCGTAGGCTGGAAAATGAAGAGGCTCATTTAGCACCGCTAATTTTGCCTTACCGAATGGGAATGTGAAAAAAAATCATTTTCAACGACCACGGATTGCTGTGATCCTCACTATTGCTGGACCATTCAGAAACGAACCGATCTTCTGGCTCCTCCAGAACTTCAGAAAGCTTCTCCGACTTTTCGTCATCGGACTTCAATTCCGCACCCTCGGGGTAATTTCGAAAATGTAAAATAAGGCTTTTGCTCTCCCGACCACTCGAAGGGAGGTGATTAACACGCAGACAATCGCTTTCACTCTCGTCAGAATATTCTTCTTTCTGTTGCTCGAACTCGCAAAATGATTCATTACTTAAACTGCTGGTGGACGATGTCGAGGATAAGGTTTCTTCCAAGCGAACGCAGGCCTCAGAACATACTGAAGACGGGTCAATCGTACGGGAATAATTTCGATTAGATTTGTTCATTTTGTTAAACATGTCCCGCTATGAAGAATAGAGCTGTCTCGAAGAAAGGTAATGATGTAAGGTATTCGGCATTTAGGTGTTTATAAAATGAAAGTTGCAAATAAACGCGTGTGGAATATCTCAAATGTTCCATGAAGAAGCAGCTGCAGGCCGCAGGAGGAGCACGACAGGGCACGCGCAGCAACAGGCGAAGCTAGTCATCCGTGATTGTGTGTGGTCTAGGGCTGCAGTGTCTTTCGTACGTCGCGTGTCATTGCGAACAGTCGTGAATCGTCGTGAATTTCATCTCCTGCTTACACTCCAATTCTAACCCGATGTTTCCACTTCATTCTCTTTGAACTTCAACGTTCCTTTGATATAACGAGTCTCTCAGCAACTGACAGCAAATTACTCAGGGAGTCATTGAGAGCCATGAAAGCCTTTTCTTAGCTCCGAAAACGTAACCTTTAATAATTGCTGCATAATTAACCATGTATGCGTCATGAAGTGCCTTTATACTCGATCATCAATAATAATCAAAAGTAATAAAGAACATTATTGTTTCTCAGAGAACCGGTAACTGTATAAGCCAGTTGTAACACGGTGCAGTACAGTGTAGCACGCGTCAGCCGTTTGTTGAAAACATCAGCAACTACGCTCTCGTACAGATCAAGCACGCACATCCTTAGAAGCATCCTTTCTCTGTTTCGGTCGTTGCTACACTACGTTAGGCGTGTCAAGCAATTGCAAGCAATACTGAATAATATTGGCAATGGAATTCAGAAGAGTTAGTGTCCTTTGAACATCAAGCAGTCAATAGAGCTGCACCCCATGAGGAAATGATTTTTTGGAATACGATAATCAGAAATAGACATCGAACAGTATGATTCGGTATCTTTGGTCTTTGGTGTGTTACTTCTTTAGGCCTTGGATAAAATGGTTTCTTCGCCAAACTACGCAAATGTGCGAGCTTCAAAGAATTTGCTATGGGGAACCTTCAGGAGCACCTCGAGCTTTGGCCATAGAAGATTCCTTGAGACATTCTCGCGATGCAACCATCAAGAAACTATTGATTTATCTAGATGACATTAGCGACAAGTGTGAAATTACCATAGAAACTGAACAAGAGGTTCTACAAGAAGTCATTAAAACTGTTCTTTTGACTAAGAAGATAAATCCTGTGGCACATCCTGACTTTGCCAAGTCCTTTGGCAAATGCATTGAGCTTATTTGGGGATACCGTCAGTTGTGTGTAGAATGTGAAGAACTTAGAAAAATACCCTATGATGCAGAAAATCCAGAACATGAAGCATTGTTGATGAAGCTTTGGGACTCGTTGAATCCTGATGAAATCTTAACCTCCAGAGTATCAAAACAGTGGCAGCACATTGGATTTCAAGGTGATGACCCCAAAACAGACTTCAGGGGAATGGGAATACTGGGGCTCAGCAACCTTATTTATTTTGCTCAGGAATATTCTGGAACAGTGAAACAGGTGTTACTACATTCCTTACATCCTCGCTATGGCTATCCATTTGCCATTGTTGGAATAAATCTGACTAGTATGGCATTGAGGTTGTTACGTGATGGTTCAGCAAAGACTCATATATATAATTCATCAAAAACATTACCAACAATTCGTGCCTTTCATCATTTTTATTGTTGTCTCTTCTATGCATTTGATGGATTTTGGATGCAGTCAAAGCCTAACAACATGATGGAGTTTTCGTCTGTTCAAGAGAGATTTGAGAGTAATATCAGAGCAACCCTTGCTAGTCCTACAACTGTATTCAGATTGAATGTGTCAGTGGATAACGTGTAGCAAATGTTCTAACTTAAAGTTTTACAAGCAGCCAAAATCGTATTGGGCTATTTAAGTATCACACAATTTTTCATTTACGATTTACGAAATGTATATCAGTGTGAAAATGAGGTTCACATATGATTTTAAGACCAAATGTATATTTATGTTTTAAGTCACTAAGGTCTGTAAGGTGACGATATTTGTAAGCTTGCAATTAGTGTTTATATCGTGTGCTATACTAGTTTTCTAATAAAGTAAAATGTAACATGTAAAAAAAAATCTTTATTATATACCATATAGAAAAACTGCCATACACTTGTTTTAAAACATTGCACATGTATTTTTTACACAGCTAGGAAGATGACATGACTTTACTGTATCCAAGTCAATCTAACAGCAACCCCTTTAAGCGGAATGTGTACATATATACATAGTTTTTATTACTGTACTATCTTTATGTATCTTTTTTTCGTGAGGTCTCAGATTTGCCTCTAAGCTTTGATGCAACCGAAACAATCACCAGAACACCAATACTGATGCTTCCAAGTTTCATTACCCAAGGATTTTCATGAAGGAAGTTTGCGATCATTTGTGTGACATCATCGCTGCAAAAAATATAGGATTCATATTGAATAAGTTTCAATAATATAGACCATATGAAAGATATGCTTACAAAGGACTTTGAGGATGAGGGACTTTCTCTCCATGAGTATTTCGGTACCAATCCTTTGCAAATGATACGAAAGAATTGACATCATATCTTGGAATTTGGTATCGATACATCTTTCCTTGTCTGAAGCTACATATTTCCAAAAATATAGTTTTTGTAATTATTATCAAACGATTTTCCATACATTTAACAAGTACTCACAATATAAATTCTGGAACTTCAAACACATTAAATCTTCTGGCAGTTGATGCACCTGTTGTGTATTTATTAACACGAGCAACATTCAGTTTCTGTTTCAATTTTGCACCAACTGTCTCCCATCGGGCACCCAACCTTTGACATTCCACACAGTCAGTGCTGTAACTAATTTCAAATGCTTCAATAGCAACCTTCTTATATTTCTAAAAGGTATTAGGAAAAATACATGAAGTACCTACAACATAATAAACCAATCACCGGTCGTTGCACCACTGCTAGCTTGAGTCAAATGTTCAAATGTATCATCTGTTAGTTCCTTTACAATTGGATCTTTATTTTCCATAAACATAGTAAGAATTTCCTCATCGTTTAAAGGACCTGGATAATAATAGTAATTACGGAAATGTTAGTAACATAGCAAAGAATTAGGATGGAATAAACTCCATGTGCTATTGTACTTTACCATCATATAACAAAGGAATGCCATGTCTAAAAAATACTAGAGCAGGTTCTTTATTAGGGCTATAAAGACGAAGCAATTGACTATTGACAGCTTTAACAACCCACGAGGACAAAGAATCGACCAGATCTTCTCTTAAATGAATTAATTCATTTTCAAAGTTGTCACACTCCTCGCAATTCTTTTTAGCTATAAAATATAATCAATGATCAATGATTAAATACATCTGTTATGCTAAGTTCTAATGATAAAGTAAATATATTATGAAATAAAACATTTAATAAAGTTTTAAAAACAGATAAGTAAAAAAAATATTAAAGAACTGTTACACTAATGTAAAATGTTTTAGTGTGAGAGAACTCACTGAAAAGCACGATCACATATTTTTCGCTTTTAATAAGATTTAGAAGATCATCGTCGTTCACTGTTTCAAGAGTAGACGACACGAGACCTTGGGAATTTAGAAGTATCGAAACCAGAAATATATAACAAATCATTTTTATGATATTTATAAGTATAATAAAGAAGACAAGACACTGTTATCCTATTTCTGTATGCGTTGCAGAGATTAACAATTTTTCCAACTAATCACGTCGTGAAACATCTGGACTAGCGGTTGGCAACAGTGCAATACATTGTGTCAATATGACGCAAGAAATATGAAATTGTAACCGATTGCGATTGATGATTCCTTATTTACGTAGTAATTGAGACCCGTTTGACCTGTTCTACCTTACAAATTGTCAGAAAATGTACCAAGGATTTTTGTTCTCTCAAGTCATTCTATACCGTGGGGTTGAGTATTGGGTTGTTCTTTCTTTCTTTCTTTCTTCTTTTCCTTATGGCTGTATCTCCAATACGGGACATGTCCACTAGCTGGTTATATATAATCAGTATTGGCAGTTCACACTAGATGGCGATGTATGTACCTCACGAGACGGGCATTACATGTAATAATCGAGTGTGAGGTTCTACAGAGTTTATACACTGAATCCGAATGGTGTTGGGTGAAATTCGTATGAGCATTCACTTAGTTTTTTTTATAAAAACCGATATTGGTTAATGCCACTGGGAGCTGGGCATTGGATTCCTTTAGTCTGAGCTATCGTATTTCTTGATTTCGACCATTTTACCCCGCTAGATGGGCTCACGTTACGCAATAATGCAAAACTTACTGCCACTGTTCCACATCATTTCATATTTGGTTAGGTGCATCGGAAAAAGATGCTATACTGTTTAGCGGTAGTTTCGGGTATATGGTAATGATCGAGCCATGTTGCAATTGTGATATGACTTTAAGAAGTCGACTTAGTTAACAGTCGTTACACTTTATTTAGTTTCAGAAGATTCGTTCCTACATTGTGTAGGAAATTAAAACCATGAAATTTAATTTGTAAAATATTTGAAAATAATAGGTTACACAAGGAGCCTTTAGGGACATGTTTCATTTTTCTAAGATTAATGAAAAAGTTTAAGACAATGTACTTCTCACATCGTTAATAAAACCATTTCCTTAAGATGTCTTTCTGAGATCTGTTAACAGGACTGTGTTATAACTTGTATTTAGCCAACGGAGGCTTGCGCACCTTTAATTCTTTAAGAAGCCACTGTTTATCGGCACATTGCTTAAAAACACGTGAACCAATCAAAGCCACGGGTTACAATGAATCAATAATCGATACATGTCGATGTTGGTTCGTTGAGCTGTGTATTCCATTGCTGTTACAACTTCTATTCAGTCACTGGCATCTACAAACACCTCCAGATATCGAGCATGCCATAGTGGCTCAAGAAGGTACGTATTGAACGCATCAGGAAACTCAGGGCCGACCGTACGAAGTACGGTTCACAAGGTCATAGGATAGCTTTTCAAAAATTTAGAAGACATCGTCGTAGTCGATTTTTATCTTTACTATTGCTTCCATTGAATGGAAATGTCAAGTGTCTCATTTCTTGTCCACCTACCTGGATTCGATGGAAGCTGATGATTGGTGCTGTGATCATCGAAATTTAGATGTGTATTTTTTCTGAAGAAAAAAAACAGCTTTGAGACACTACTTCAACGGATGTGGGTTTGAAAGATTTAAGAAAGTTAGTGGGGCAAAACGCTCTTGTAGCACATGGGTTCACAACAGGATCAGTTGGGCTCATGAGTTTCTAGGCCCAACAGTGGGGTTCCGTGTCGAAAATCGAAGGTCGAAGGTCGAAGGTGCTATGTCGCAAGTTATTCAAGGAGGGTGGGGCGACGTCGCGACGAACGATGGCCGTTGCGTGATTCTGAGCTCAGTTGAGCAACCTAATCGCAGTTGCACGAATATAGAGTAATGCTCTCCGCAAACGATTGAAGAATTTGTATGAACGATCCTTTCGAAAGAGAAGAAAATTCGCGAATCTTCTTCTATCCAGTTATAAATCTTTGAGTGATGATCCTCTTGAGAATTGGAAGCTGGAAATCAGGAACCGAAGATTCTTCTTACTATTTTACTTACGGTTTATCAGTTGCTATTTACGAGTGATCAAACAAGCAAACCAGGGTGAGTAGAGAATTAAGAAATGTTAAAGAGTGTAGAAAGACAAGATAGTCTTTCCTAAGAGTGTTTTTTCCCCTTGGTTAGAAGCAAGAGATGGAATGCGAATACCCGGGCACCACCTACATTCCGGAAGACGAAGAAGTGTCGCGAAGGAATCGTGAACGCCAGTTGGTGCAAGAGGGAACAGCACTCTGGAAGAAACGAAAGGAAGAGCTTCAACGTCAGAAGTACCGAGAGCAACGAGAAGTAGGTGCTCCATAGAGAGTGCTAGTCAATCAATCGCAATTTAAGAGGCCCTGGGCTACCCAGGTTGCGATTATGCAAGTGCTATCTTTCTCAAATTGCTATGGCTCGCCTTATTCCTGCCACTCGTCTGTGTTGACAGGCTCCAAACGAATTTTTACCTACCTACCTTTCCTTCTGTCACTATGCATTTCGGTTCTTTTCTAGCTTCTATAACCTGTTTTGCGATTCCTTACAGCTTCGTGAAATGCTAGCCAGTTATTCACCTTGGGGAAGACCCGGTGGCGGAGCACCATGTGCTTCCGCACTTCGAAAGAAAAACGTACGTCTCGAGCCGGCGACTCCTTCGAGAAACTGCATTTATGAGGTGAGCAACTTAAACGAGTTGAAACTCCAGATTGGTGAACGCTGAAGCAGCTCCGTTTGTCAAAGGGACTGGCTACTGGTTGGCTACTGCATGGAGGCCTTTAAAGTTTCGTTAATGTCGTGCTATTTAAAAAAAAAAGAATTATTAATACTTTGAGACATGCTAAGAGCTACTACGAAGTGAAACTAGACAGTAGTAGGATTCGCTTTCCTAAATCGATTTGCTACTGCATCTCTTGAGCTTTAGTTTCTACTTTCTCGTCCAGCTATCGATATTACTTAATGTATCCCTTCGACCTGCCGAGTAAGTTAGAGACATAGGGACAGAAAGTTCAATTGGAAAATCTCCGTTGAGCGTGCGTAGGAAATCAAGTGGAATTTCGCCCTGATTGTGAGTAAAAATGAGCTACCTTCAAAGTTATCAAGTTATCGTTGGTCAATGAAACGAACGATAACGCATCTGTCTCCGAACGAACATAGTGCGCATATAGTTACATGCACGCAGCCATCCACGCACGCACGCAAATGTAATCAGCACACGCGGCGAACACAGGAGCATGACTAGCAATAGGTGTGCCACAGTAAGATTGCAATCTCTTTTGGTTGTGTTATTGTGCCCACGTCGGGCAGAGATGCACTTCTTGCCGAAGCAGAGTTTATCAAGAACCGCCAATGGAAAAATAATCCCTAATAGAATTAAGACGTTCAAAAATACCAAGACCTTAGTGGCTGTATATAATTTCAGGAAAGTGTGAGTAATATGGTTTTTGAAAATGCTGAAGCTCGCGCAACAAAATTGATTTACAATTAGACCGCCGACGATGAGAGCTTGGCTGCAGCTGTACGTGTATTTAGGTAGTGCAGCCAACACCCTGGAGTCCTTGGAAAGAACCCAAGTCAGTAAGATTTGCGCATTTTCTGCGCTCGATGTTACAAATGCCTCAAATGCATATCGAATGCCTCCTCTGGCGCATTTCTAGGCAACGATCGCTTACGCTTCATTACGCTTCATTACGCTTCATTACGCTTCAGTCACTGTACTGCACTATTTTATAGGAGATTTCATAGCGTTGGATAATCTCCAAGCATGACGCGCCAATGTTACTAGCAATATAATTTTCATTCTGCATTTAACAAAATAAAAATACGAAAAACGGCGAAAGTCAGTAATGCAATATTCTAATACGACTTTTTAAAGTCGCAGCTAAGAACGAAAATCTTCAAGGAGTCGTTCGTGCGACATTAGAGAATTTCCGCATCATTTGCCGAATACTTCGTATCAAGTAAATTATCGCGTGCTGTTGCTTTAAGCTCGTTTGAAAATTATTAAATCACAAAGTTTTGATACTGATTGATGATTTCGATTTGATTGAGCCCTCGAAGAGAAGCAAGAAATTTCCTTAGTTCTCTTATTCTCGTAATGTTGCATGAGCTAATGCCATTTACTAAAAAAGCAAATTGCGCGGCAGACCAAATCTTATAATTGGACGATACTCCTGATGGCTGGAAACATGAAAAGTTTAAACTTAACTTTATTAGGAAACTGGTTCGCGAAGGGATTTATTCATCCGTAACGCAGGCATCAACTTCTTTCTGCAATTAAGACGAATACGGCTTTTAATGGAGGATATATGTGTATACATATATATGGACAGGGACTTCTTCTTCATTCAATGCAATAAAGTAGCAAAGCTCATTATCTATACAGTTAACATGCAAAGTGGCATTGACGAACGGCCACTTCAGTCCACCATTTTACCCGACTGTCTTCTCGTTGTTTGTCTGTTGTCGATGATGCCCAAAAAATGTAATTCTTACTATTAGAAGAAATTTGTTCCATAGGATTGGAAGAAGAACTCGACGACCCAGAGACTCGTAAAATTGGAGCCGATCGATACTCGAGACATCCAGCCTTCCTCTGGCGCCGTTGATGCGAATCGGTTTTTCCAGATGGATTCTAGGCGCGGTAGGATGAATCGATAACTTCAGCTCCTCCTCCTCCTCCTCCTCCTCCTCCTCCTCCTCCCTTTCACCTCTCTCTCTCTCTCTCTCTCTCTCTCTCTCTCTCTCTCTCTCTCTCTCTGGCTTCATCGTTTCCAACTCCTTCTCCTCCTCTTCTTGCAGGTAGGTCCTTCGTGGCCCGCAATCGAAACAACGAGGAAATTCAGATTTACAAGTTGACGGGCGGCGTCGAATTGGTCCCTTTGCTGACCACCCGAAGGCATCACGCTCAACCGCAAACTACTCGCTATTTGGCGACCGACGCGACGCGTCCTGGTTACACGATAGACTCGTAAGTATATCTTTACTCCCACTCCTCG